AGCCCTTGTGGCTCCGCCCGGGCCCCGGCCGGGCAGCGCTCACCCGAGGAAGAGGCCCGTGCGGTGCCGCCCTGCCGCTCTCCCGTGCCCCTGGCAGCGGCACAGCCCCCTCACAATGACAGACAATGACGGTCTGCCTTCAACCGATTCATTCGCAGTTGGGGCGGGGGGGGATGCGGAGGGGGTAAAGCGGACCCAGCTCGCTGTGCAGAACGGGACAAACCCGCGTTAATAATGCCCCAGAGCTCTCCCTGGAAACTGAGGAGCTGTCAGAGGCAGTAGAGATTACGGGACCCGAGTACGAGCATCCCTGCGCTCGCAGATAAAGGTGTTGCGTCTGTTCTGGGGGAGATATTGAAATTTTAATCTTTAGGGTCACGTGACTCATTAAATAATTAATGCAGATAGTCAGGAATGGATCTGTGGCCGTCAGTCCTCACTAGGAGTGATTCTCTCAGAAGTGAAACTCAACTCCTTATTACTGGAGTTTGTTTTTCTTTCTTTATTGTCCTTTTTTTTTTCTTTCTTTTTTTTTTCTTTTTTCCCTTTAAAAAACCCCACCTGATTTATCTTGAAAGATTCTAAACTCCTTAAGCAAGCAATAGGGTCTGTGTTGGTAAGTAGGTAGTGTGTATTTCTAGCTTGATTACTTTAATTGTTTGTGCTTGCTTTGTCTGCTGAGCATTTGCTTAACAAGTTTAATATTTAGAAATGTTAAATCTTTGTTTTAGCTGCCTTGTGGTCACATTACGGCTTTTGGTGATTAAGTGTTACGGAGGCAAACACACTTGATAATGTTCTAATTCACGCTGTGGAAAGCTGGGTGCCACAGTGCAGGAGGACCTGCTTTGTTCAATTTTCCTGGCGTTAATAAATCACCGTCTCTTAATACATGGCCAAAAAAGCAATGGAAAGGCAGTGAGCATTGCAAAGGAAAAGTCATGGGCGAATTTCTCTATGACTCATTAGTCTGAACGATTTATGTACGAACTTAGAGTGCCGCAATGAATATTAGAGTTTGGGGTAACAACAAATTAAAAAAAAAAAAAAAAAAAAAGAAAGAAAAAAGTCATAGTTTTTGTAAAGTGCTTTATTGCTACTTAGCAACTCTTTAAAGAAACAGCATACTTTAAAGGACCGTGGCAGTGTAAAATATGGTAGCGTGACCTAATAGCTCCAAAATAAATAACAGAAAGTCGCTGGCACCATTTTCAGATACACGCTCCATATTTAACACGAGTGGGACAACCCAGTCACGACACGCTTGATCGATGATTATTGCTGTTTGTAACATGATTATTGATTAGGGATCAAAACGACTAAGGTACGACTTTGAGCCTAAAATGCCAGGGGGTTCCCCCTGTGCTGAAGCCGAGTGGAAGGAAAGGTAGAGCTAAGAATAACCCCAGGAAGCAGCTCCCGGGCTCTGTGATTGCAGTTCAAACTTTCCATTTTCTTTTGTGTTTGCCAGTAGATTTTAACAGTCAGCGCTTGCAAATTTATGAGACAGCAATAAACAGTTTAGTAGGCTATTATTGCATGATTTTATGTAGACTGGAGTTCAACACCAAATTTAAAATTATTAGCGTAATTATGGAACTACTAAATTACCAAAGCAAAGTATCTGCTCGAAAAGTTCTCCCAAGACAGACTTAATATTTCCAGGGCTCAGATAACACCCTTCAGCAAGAACGGTGTTATTTAATTATTAGCATTTACATTTACTCTCGATTGTAAGATGCATTAGATGGGTTTTATTAGCAAGACTGAATACAGGGGTACATTATTATATGTGACAAATTCATATGTAAAAGTGATTCAGTAAGTGGCATGCAAATGACCTGACTATTCTCTTTTTGGGCTTAGCAATATTGTTTATTTTCGGGGAAAAGAAGCAGCCCAGTTTTTTTTCCCTTCTGTCAATGGCTTTCAGTGATGTTGGTTTTTTCGTTGCTGGCTTTTTTTTTTTTTTTTTTTTTTTTTTTTTTTTTGGGCCCGATCCCGCTTCGCTGAGGTCAATTGTTAGTCTCTTACTGAGCTTGTGGTGGCAGGATTGGGCCCCGGCTAACCGTTTGAATAAAAGCCCAACCACAATACGCCCCGCATTTAAACTGGAACCCTTTCCGAGTTTTATTCAGCAGAGATGAACACCACGACTTGTGTTTAATGTCTGTTCTTGATTAAATGATCCTAAACAAAGGTTTCCCAGAGGAAAATAAAGCAGACATTCATGTAACAAGAGTTAGGAATGACAATATTTCCAAACACTTGGAGACAGAAGGCATAGCTGTCTACGGGGAAAAAAAAAAAAAAAAATAAGGAAAAAAACCCAACCAAAACAACCGCACGCTTTTATTTCTCAGCTCCCCGTGCTCTTCACCCGGGTGGGAATCCACGCTCCTCGCGGGAGCCCGAGCCCGCTCCATCCCCGCCCGCCCCTCTCCGGGCTCTCCCAGCGCACCCGGCAAAGCATGTATTGCCAATGAAGGAGCAAAATACCTCCCCCTGCACTCCCCGGTAAGGCTCTGTTTGTTGCTTGTTTACAGGGAGCCCCGAAACGAAGCCGCTCGGCCGGGGCGGTGGAAGAAGCTGGGAGCGCCTCAGCCCATCCCTGCGCAGCTGGAGGAGGTAAGAGCCGGGCAGCGGCCGCTGCTTTTGCGCCGCTGGCAGCTGTAAGAATGCGATTTGCCTGGTACCTGCATGAAGAACAAGACTGCTGGAATGTGATTTTGTTGTTGTTGTTGCGATAAATATTTAACCTAGCTGGGATTTTTTTCCTGGATTGGCTCTATTCATCTTCCGTGGGTGGTGAATGCGCGTGTCTGGGCAGACAAAGAAGTGTACGGGACCTGAGTGATCGCCATCCTTATAAAGGCATTGGGGACAGGAAGGATGCAAAGTCATCTGAAGAGCGAAAGAGTTAGAGAATTTCTTTGTCCGTTCTTAGCTCCTTCTGAAATCAAAGGCACCAGGCGAGGGAGAGAGGGTTGGAGCCAGTTCGGTATTGAAAGGCTGCTTCTCGCGGCTTGTCTGTTCGCCTCCTCCTCGAGGAGTTCCGCAGCCAGTCCTGCAAACGAGAAGTGCATGTGGGGATGTTAGAAAACCTGATTTTTGTCTGCCTGCATACAACAGAATGGCTCGCGAATAAATTTCGTGTATTTGTCCGTCCTGGCCTGCTTTGCACTGAGTGGAGGTCGGTGTCTGGTGGTTCGGAGTTGCTGAAGTCCTTGATGTGCTTGGTCCTCTGGCAGGAGAAAAGAAATGCTTTCCATAGTGACAATATTTTTTTATGCCGGCCGTCGAAAGGGGAGGATTACATAGAATTAGCTCAAATTCCTGCTAGATTTACCTGCTCCTTTTTGGATGTTGATGTACAATTAGTGTATTTTACTACCTTTTAAAACGGCCATAAATTACAGGACTACAAGGGCTCTTTGTGTTGGCTTAATGAGCTGCTTAAATCTTAACTACAAAAAGGCGCTGCAAATGTCTATTCACGCTTGTGTTCGGAAATTGAAAGCGAAAACACGGTACGAAGGAACCTTCCTCCGGTGGCATGTACCCACAGCATTGCGGGCAGAGATATTTGGGATTCCTTAAGTGACCCAACACCGGCAGACTCAGCTGACTCTGAGCAGAACTCCTCTCACAAGGGCACAGTCGATAACGCTGCTCTTTTTATCTACTTGGGAATGATCAAAGACCAACTTTATCAGACGCACGGATGTAGGTAAACAGCTCTGCGTCCTAGCAGATTGCAAATCTTTCGAGGTAGCGAGGAAATAAGTACTTATATCGTACGGGTGATTCCCATTTCATCTCCACATGGGACTGATAGGCACACCTCTTACCAACTGGCATAAAAGTAAACTTGAAGCACAGTAAAAATTCTAATTCTATAGAAGGTAACTTTAAATAGCATTAATGCTAAGAGTGGCTATTAATGCCAGAACGGGCACAAAGAGTCTCCCTTAATGAAGGCACGTTATGAACTCAGATCTGTTTGTTGTTACTGAGGTTGGAATTTAAATTCCGCTCGAAGCCATGTGTATAAAGCACAGAGAAATCAGTAGCACACCTACTGATAAGCTCCACATTTTTTTCTGCTAGAAACAGTCTTTCGGCTCTCCAAATCATCAAGGTAATAAAACACAACGTTGAGTGTCCAGGAACAGGAACAAAGCAATAAATGGGGTGGCGAGGGAAGTCTAGCGCCTGCGACTCGTAAGATCACTTGAATTTGCATCTGAAACCTCGTAATCACGCTACTAGAGCAAACAAAACTTTCTCCAAATTCGGCGAAAGGGAATAATTTTCAGCTGCAACTCAGGACAGCACAAAGGCAGACTCCCCCTTCTGCCTTCCCAAAGCACGTTCTGTGAAAGGTATTCACACGTCAAGAAGTTACTTTTCTTAAGAATTAATTAGTTTCCCCACTATATACACCAAGTTAATTGTTAAACAGTAGTTTTAGGATTAACTTGACCATTAATACCAATAAAGATGTTCAGAGAAACAGGGTTTTGAAGCCAATAGCCACAGCTAGCGTTAAGGCATTTCAGATGACTTATGATTGTGATTTATTGCTTTTGTAGTTTCTATTTGCTCAAGACTGTAACTTCTAAAGCCATCTTTCTACTTTTGACGCAAAGCAGTCGATAACTTTTTACAACAGCCCCAAGAAAGACTTGATTTGCTTTTTTTCAACATCTGCTCCATTCCCCATTAATTTCAGTTGCATTGTTGCAGAAGAACTTCTCTATGTGTTTCTTCTATGTGATGTAAACGCGCCAAATTTAAAAGAGCCGTGAATCCGTCTCAAGCAAATATCGGTCTTGATGTACTATAAGTATGAGAGCTGTGGAGTTACCAGGCATGCTGATAGAGATTCGGGCATGTCGAGTGTGCCTGATGCCCCCTCTTTTTTAAAAAAAAAATCTGTAGCTTTTATTTCAGTTCCTAGTCAGCGATAATATATGTATACCCTGGTACTAGCTTAGTCACTTCCATGTGAAAAATTGCAAAGTTTTCTCCTGCTGTAACGTCATGCTGACTTTGCTGCAATGCCACTACTGTACACTGTTACGAATGGGTTTACATTCCAGTGGCCCACTTTTACAATCCAGGCAAGAGTATAATAAGGCTTGTCCATAATACTGAAAGTCATCTTTAAAAAGAAAACCCCTTCCATTCTTTTCAATGAAGTGTAGGTGAAACTGTAAGAGGGGATATATAGTTAGCTTCTTAGAGCTCCTGGGAGATGGTGATTTAGGCAAGGATGTATACATGATGATGCACAATGCTGGAGTCACAGAACTGAGCCAGGAGCACGTTAAAAGCGTGAACTATCTGGTTTACTGTGACTCCTTCCAGAAAAGTTGTGTGAGTGGAGGGGTTTTTTTTGTTTGTTTAGCTTATTGTGTCAATAGCACAAGTTAAACAGTGTTCCAGGGAAGATGTGATGGGTTCACACACAGGCGACGCAGCCTGGCTCAGGGGCCACATACAACTTTGCTTTTTTCCTTTTTTTTCTTAATTTTTTCCCCTTAGGCAAAGAACTCCCCCCTCCCCAATTTTTTTTTTTTTCCCCCAGCGTTAGAAACCTATAATTTTGTGCATCACTCAAACTAGCTGTATAGGAAATGCGTAAGCACAGGTTTAACAGCAAGGTCCCAAAAGATTTTGCAAAATTCAGAAGCACGCCAGTGAAGAAAGGTGTATTCTTCACAGTGTGTTACGAGGACAAAAATCAACTAGCCTCTTAGAAGAGACTCTTTTTTGCCTTTGTCAGGTAATTACAGGTCTTTTTAGTTTCTACAGGAGCCCTGATGTAGCGTGTGGGAGTTGAGCAAGCCCTGTACAATGGCAGGGTAGAGGGAGCTGGGGGTGGGGGGAAGGCTGGTAATCGTCCCGTTTAGAAGGGGGCTGGAAATAATAGCATTAAGATTTGGGCTTTCTTCTGGGCTCGCAGAGGACATGCGACGTGGAGCAGAGTGGCGGGCCTGGGGAACAAACGCCGCTTAATTAGGCTAAGTATCGAAGAGCAGCGTTATAAGAATTCCTCTTACCTTCCAGTGGGTTTTGTGTAAAGAAATATTGGTGTGGGAGGAAAGAGAATCAGACCAATCTCCCCCTATAGTCATCTGCATCTCTTAGATTTTTTTTTTCCCCCCCCTCCCTTAAAACTCTTCTTTAACATATTGGGTTAAGGCTTTAAAAAGCGAAGCCTCGCGCTAAGAAACCCTGTTCCTTCAATGATTCCCTATTTCAAATAAAAGGATTTAAGTTGACGTATGACCACGTGAGCACATAATACAGCGCATTATTGTGGCATTTGGAGTGGAGACCCGGTCTGGCTCCGTCTGCGATTACGCTTTTCCAGTTTCTGTTCAGAGCAAGCACTGCTTTCTATTATTTTTTTTTTTTCCTCCTGCCCCCATCACCGTCCCCACAAGAGCTGGCCATTTCGCTGACAGCTTTCGTTCCTTATGGAAAGGTTATTGTCGAGCCGAGAGGACGAAATGCTTCGTTAGAAAGGATGGATTTTATTTTAAGGTATTTCCGTTGATTGTTCATTTATGTGGTGAGTTATTGCTGTTCGAGGCAAAGGTCAGTAGCAGAGGCTGGAGTGAGTGCGTGTGTGTGCGTGCGGGTGTGTGTGCACCCGGAGCCAGGCTGCTTCCCCCTTTGTTTCAATTTGCTGTGGTAAATATTCAACTCTACCCTTGCAGCGAGCAGAGCAGGCAGAGTTTGCTTCTTTATTTATTTTTCTCCATAGAGATCCCACACTGCTGTTGATGGCCAGCTGCCTCCGCTACAGCCCCTCGATTGCCATTTTAACATTATTTATGACCGGCTAGAGATGGGAAGCCTCTTTTACTGTCGCGTTTGAATAGTTCCCCCCTTCATTTTATTCTATTATTTTATTTGTGTGTTTGTGTGTTTATTTATTTACGTATTTGGGTAAGCCGGAGAAAACGATGTGGGGGGTGTGTGATGCTCCTCGGTCGGGGTCGTGCTCGAGTGTGCGGCGGTGGTTGTTGTTTTATGGGTGTTTGTTCGGCCGCTGCCGCTCCGTAAATCGATGACTGTGCGATCGTGCTGCCATTTTATTTATGATGCTTTAGTGGTACTTTGTTTATTGTGCGAGTAGCGCTGCATGAGTGCTCAGCTCCATGGCAAAGCTTCCCCTTCCCAAATGAGCCAAGGCGCTCCTCTTTATTTCTCCGCGGTGAGAAGGAGCTGAACCAAGAGCCAGGCACGGCTTCTAACAATAAATCAGCCTTGAAAATGTGGAGGTTTATTCTGCTTCTCTGAATGGGCATCTGGAAAGAGAGAATAAAAAGGAGAGGTGTGGAAAGTATCTTCTAGGAGAACTTACACTAGCTCTAAATTAATATCCATGCCCTTGCTTACATAAATATAGATATATCCATATATATAAATATGTAAGGATTTGCGTATACTTATCAATACGAATGCAGAGATATAAATGCAATTTAAAATGACAAAAATTAAAGATCGCTTGGTTGTCCAAAGAGGGCAAAACGCTAAATGAAACCCTATTTCCCCGGTGTGCCCCGGCTTTGGGAAAGGTTGGAGCCCTGGGACTCGCTTTCCTCCAGCTCTCTCCATGCCTCTCGTTTATTCCTGTTGAGCCATTTTGTGTCCATTTACGAGCTGTTTGTAATTGCTCATCTTCTAAGGGGTCAGAAAGAGAGGGAGGAAAGTGAACGATGATAAAAACTCCAGTGAGAGCACAACAACAAAAAAAAAGGTTATTTCCACTCGGAGCTATTCGCGGCCCTTCTGCAGAGACCTTCAGAGTGATGTTTGGGATGTTATCACGTTTTTCTGCTCTTTAAAGCGGCTCTCGAAGCAGAATTGACCCCCAAAAATATTTCCCCTTATCGCCACACTGAAGCACGGTGTCTCTTTCTTCAGCAAGGGAAGGAGAGCTCTTTTGCTCCCATCTGTGTGTCTAAAAGGAAAGACTGGCGTTGCCGTATTTTGAAATGGGCCAAAATGTGCCTCAAAAATAAAATCCAAGCTTTAATTGCAGCTAAATTACTTGGCAGCCTTTCCTCTGATTTATGACCCAGTTTGGATGCATATTGACCCAGTTAAAACACTCATAAATAATATAGTCCTGCTCTAGAGTAAAAGAAAGCAAGAAGAGTTCTGGAGGAAAGGGGGATTTCGGCGAGTTGTGTAAATAACTTCAGTCTGTTGAGAAAATAGCAAAGAGTGCGTTGCCTCTCTAGTGTTAGAAAATATAAACAACAATTTAGACTGACCACGGCTTTCTTCGATTGTCCAGTCCTTCTCTAATTCAGCTGATATCCTCTTCTAACTCTCTAACGACTTGGACAGGCACCACTTTGAGAACTGTCCCCCTTCTCCCTCAACTCTCTGCCTTGCTATTTATTTTTGGTAAGAGATCCCCCAGAACCAGCCCTGAATTATGGTGCTGCCTGCTTCCATTTCGGGGCATCCAAGGACAAGGCGCTTTACAGGCATTATTTTATTCGGAAAATAGTAATTCGGGGGACTTGGGGGGAGGGACGGGAGGGAGTACCACAGAGTGGGACTCTTCGGGGAGAAAAGGCAGGTCATTTCTGACTCAGAAATCAGCCCCAAACACTGCCCGTCCCTCCCCGAGCTGAGCCCTATCTTTCTCCGCGGAATGGAGCAGAAAGAAAATATTCGGCCTCTGGGAGGGAAAGACAGATAAAAGCAGCGGGGATCTGTGCGTTGGGACACTTATCCCGACATCATAGGAGACATAAAAAAAAATAATCATCTTCTCATGTTTAAAATTACCTCTTTGGGGAGAGAGGGGGCGTGGGGAAACGGGACTAATTGGAGAAATCTCGCAAAATACTCTTTGCAGGCAGTAAGATGAATGGAAGAAACACTTCCATATTCCTATGAACCACTCCGGTTCTCACGATTAAAGTCCTTACATATCCTTTCATTTTTTAAAAAACCTCCCCCCGCTTCCCGTTCCCCGTTCTTAAATACAGACATTTAGTCAGAATATCCCGCTGGAGATGGCTCCCAAGTTGAAACGTGCTCCTAGGAAAAACTCGGCCGGCTTTCGGCGGGGCCCCCCAAACAGGGAGGCTCCCCGGTGTCCGCAGGTTTCGGCAGTCCCCATCTTTTCTCTCCCTGTCCAAATCCTCCTCGCCAGTCCGGGGGGCTCCGTCGGGGCGCAGCGCTGCCTCTGAGTATTTGGCCGGGCAAGTGGGCGAATGGCAGATCAGCAGTTTCAGAAGAAAGTGTGGGGTTGATTATTGACTAAAAAGACTTTTTTTTTTTTTTTTTTTTTTTTTTTTTTTTTTTTTCTTCCAAAGCAACATTCACAGGATTGTTTGAAGCAAAACGCATACGAAGGATTTTTGCCTCTTCTCTCCTCCTACGCTGGCCGCTTCCCCTTTCATGTGGTGCCTTCTCACTTATGCCATAAGGAGCAAGTGTTTTCTGTTTTAGTGCTCTGTTTACAGCTTTGGTGCACGAAGTCATAAATCTTGCATAGCCATAAATGACAAAAACCATTGGTATGCGTAAGAGGCCACCCCAGCCTTATAGTGCTTTTTATTTCTCGCTTCCCCCTCGCTTTGTTTGTGTTTAAAGATGACGCTGGGTTCCCTCGTGCTTTAAGCGGACTAGTTATATTTATAATGCCTTAATTAACGAAGTAACGTCAAGTTTACACCTAGATTTTATTCGCAGGCTCCTCTTAATGCACGGAGCCCCGAGCCCCGTTACCGTCTGCCACACGGGCAGGATCTGCAACTTTGTTTAAGTTCTCGTTCGCACGGTCGCCGCCGTGTTTCTGTGGCAGGAAACCGGGGGGACAGCAGCACCCCCAAACCCCGCGGCGCTGAGGAAAGAGGCGCTGCCGCTGGAAGCGGGCTAGGGCGAGCTGCGAGGCTCCCTCCCGCGGGTCCCCACGGGGCGCTGCGGGCACCCCGAGCCGTCTGTGCAGCACATGTGCGTGCGTGAGCGCCTCTGTGCCCGTCCCGGGAGCTGGGGATACTCCAGGGGGGCAGGGGGGTGTCTGTGCGTACATCTGTGTGTGTGTGCGTTCACGCATGCATGAGTTAATAATTAGTAACTCTAATGATTTCCAGCGTGGCTCTGAAAGCATTGCCCAGAGCGGGGATCCTGGTGGGCTTCGGTTGGCTCTCCGGGCTTTGCTCCCCTCCCCGGGACTCAGCCGGGGCTGTGCGGGGCTCCC